GGTGATTACTGGGGGTCCATCCAGGTGGGGGTCTATCCAGGTGGTGATTACTGGGGGTCCATCCAGGTGGGGGTCTATCCAGGTAGGCATTACTGGGGGTCCATCCAGGTGGGCATCCATCCAGGTGGGGATTACTGGGGGTCCTTCCAGGTGTGTGTGTGTGCGTGTGTGTGGGGGGGGGGCGGTTCATGGCTGCTCCTGCAGGCAGCAGCTGGTCTCTCTCTGATGGAGGAAAGTTTTTAACCCAGCGCTCAGCTCTAGATCCGGGAAGCAGCAGCCAGGACATCCGGCTGCAGTGAGCGAGGTTCCCCGGTACCTCTGCGGGACTGAGCAGCTCAAGTAGAGGCAGGAGAGCAGCTAGCTGACCGGAAGCGGAGCGGGAGCTTACCTTCTCCAGATGAAGCGGTTGTTCTGGGCTTCCTGAGGAGGATTCTAAGCGGAACTGATAGCAGGCGGTCCCTCCAGGACTTTAGGCTCCTTTATCAGCGGCGGACTGAGGCCCTGAACGCGGCGTCACCTCATTGGATCCAGCCAACATGCAGCCGGTGGAAACCTGCCGTCAGGCTGACCATATTTAGACACAGCACTTCCGGTTAGCCTGAAAACACAGCGATCATGAGCGGAGTCTGATTGCGCAGCTCTACCTGGAAACCTTTATAAAACAGCAGCAGCTGGAGACTTAAACTGATGACGTGATCTGGGCTCTAAATGAAGCCACAGAACTTTATTCTCATTAGAAAGAAGAAAAACATACTTTTATTGTGAAAGGAGGCGTTTTCATTTCCGGTACCTAACTTCTGTTCTTCTGATCTAACCGGCACCGCTTAGCCCCGCCCACTAAAAGCCACGCACTGTTGGATGATTGGTCCACGAACGTGATCGAAGCTGAACTCTGACTGAGGTCGCCTCCCATTGGTCCACGACATGCGTGACGACGTTTCCTGGTGACGTTTTACTAGAACCAATCAGATTAAAGTTAGAAAAAAGGAAAAGGCAAAGAAAGACCTGATTAGGAAAAGTTGCTGTAATGAATGAATGACAATAAAATAAACTTTAAAGCATTAAATGGAGCTAAAAGCAGAAACATTTAACTGTCGTCATTTATCGCTGTTAAATTATGCTGATTTTCATCAATGTTTATTTAATAAAGTTCAGTTTAAATGAAAGCATGAGGTTTTAATAAGTGGTTTATTGGTTTTTCTGATCAAACATTTCTAATAATAGAAATATTTGTGGCAGTAAATGAAATGTTGCAGTAAGTCCTGAAGAGTTTTATTAATGATCTATTATTGATGCTGTCGGCTGGATTGATCTCCTGCAGCAGCAGAGGCGTAGCCACAACATTTTTATAAGGGTGGCCAAACAATAACCAATGTACACCGAGGGGTGGCTGACGGTGGACAGACGCCAGAAGCTCAGGGTCATTGGATCTCTTATATCTGTTGGTTGTGCTGTTCTTTGCAGGTGATGAAGCAAACTGAAGATGTTTTATCATTATCTCCCTTTTATCTCCTCTTTCTTTCATCTTTTCTCATATTTCTTCCTTTCCTGTTCTACTTACATTGCACTGTCCCTATAATATGTAAAACTCCCTGATGAATAATAATAAAGCTATTTATATGCATTAATCAAGCGGAACACTATGGCGATAGCCGGACTGCTCCACTTGTCTTGAAGCCAAATCTGTTGGCTTCAAGACAATCATTGTTATTCCCACATCGTCAGACAGGACACTGTTAAATAAAATAAAACTAAAAATAAAAAGAACACCTCAGGGTCAATCTAAACTGTTCCGACAGGAAAATTAACAAGCAAAACCTCCACATTTTCAAAAATAAAGACAAACTATACTTTCCTGCAGCCTTTGCTAACAAATAGCCACAGATATTTAAACATTCATGCTAAAAGGTTGAGTGGATAAAGTTCTTTCAGGTTTGATTTCTGGGGCGAACATCTTTTCCATTTTCATTATTAACCTACTTTTATCAAAAATCATTCAGCATAAAATTGATATTTACAAGCACTAATATCTACATACCGTAAATTCTCTAATATAGGCCCGGGCCTTTATTTCACTCAAGTGCATCGCGGTCCAGGCCTTTATTGGATAGAGGCCAGAATTAGAGACAGGCCTCTATTGCTATTTGAGCCTGCGCTGTGCGGAGATGCAGGGGAAACCGTATCTGATGGGGAAACGCAGCTCGACGTAACATCAGTATTTCCATCTGGAAAGCGCTGTTTTGCCGCTGGAGTCCTCCTCACTCTCCATCCTCCCCTCTCTCATGACGCGTGCACGAGTCCTATCATGAAAAAAGGTTCATTGTGCGACCTGAGTAACGCGCAGTAACGGGGTGTCGGCAATTGTAACTGCGTTATAGTTACAGTAAGAGTAATAATTTTGATTACTCGTTACTGAAAAAGGTAGCGGCGTTACTCCCATCACTGTTCATCTGTGATTTCACTGGAGACTCCTAGATGACTTGCAGAGACATTTTATTTTTATCATTTTACCCCATATAACACTAAATGTAGTTCTGAAAAGAGCGTAAATTCTGTACTTATGTTTTATCTTAGTATATTGATGGACAGAATTAACCACAAAAAATTTAAATGTTTTGAATATTCCACTTGAGAATATAACTGCCACCATCTATGTTAGAAGGAATGTGGCATAAATATAAATGGTAGGGGTGACTGCAGGGGTGGCCAATGATTGGCTGAGGGTGGCCATGGCCACCCCTGGCCCCCCCATCTAGCTCCGCCCCTGTCCTGTAGAGGTCTGTCTTCCATGGGACGAGGCCTCTGACCAAAGACACTGATGGTGTCTATCAGTCTGATGCTCACTGTCGTCCATCTTTTTCGCTTTATGAACCGTCCTCCTCTGTGAATCCTCTCCAGATGTTCTAGAGGAGTTCCTCCAGCAGAGCCGAGTTAAAACGATTAACGGAGAGTTTGATCTCCATCAGGCATGCAGAGTCCCGCCCTCTGCTGCCGCCGCCAGGCTCTCCTCGCCGCCTGCTGGAATAGTTTGTATTTTAATGAATAGATGTTTGGGATTGACATCAGTGAGTAAACTTCCAGTCCAGGAAACACCTCCTAGTCTGACTAGTTAACCTGTTAGCTGCTGTTAAAGCCTGATGATCAACATGTCCGCTCTGCTCCTTCATTCCAGCAGCAATCTCCCCACTTATACACAAAATAGCTGCAAGCATCTGAACTTATTAGCTTTGGTGCTTTTATTAGACAGTATTGGGATGTCAGGGCAGTCTACAGACACTGGAGACTGCTGGCTCAGTCTTCTAGAGGCGGACAGCTGGAAGGTGGAGGGAGCAGCACCACCTGCTGGTCTGGCTGATTATAGAAGCAGGATCATTGATTCACTCATTCATCCATCCTCCATCCATCAATCCCTCCACCATCATCCATTCATCATCCATTCATTCATCCATCCATCATTGATTCACTCATTCATCCGTCCGTCCATCATCCATCCACGTCGATCCACCATCATCCGTTCATTCATCCTCCATCCATCATCCATTCATCCAACTGGACCAGAAGTTGGTCCAGTGGATTAGATGATAAAGATGGTTCTTTTGGGTTGTTGGTTTGAGTCCTGGCCTGGTGGTCAGAGGGTCTGGTAGCTTTACTCCATGTAGCCTAGCAGCGTTAGCGAGACAGTTAGGCTCTGAAATCAAGAATGAACTTTAGAACTGACAGATCCTTTTATTACTGATATAACATGGTGGTTCAATCCCAGGCTTGGTATCCAAGCAGGACAGTGTTAATGAATAATAAAACACATTATAACGTTAAACTTAGTTACCGAACGCTTAAACTGAATAATTTAAGAGGCAGTTATTCATTTCTCTGTGAAAAAAAAGAAGCAAACAGTTCCAGAGCTTCCCATCATCAGCCAGATGATCAGCGTAGGAGCGGCGCCTCTCAGCTCAGCTGTTCCTCTTGGTGTGGATCAGCAGGTCTCGCTGCAGGCTGACCTCCAGACTCCCCACAGCTTTGCTCCCTGGAGGGTCGGTGACCAGCGTCAGCTTGTTGAACACTCCTCGACCAAAGTAATCAGCCACCACAGAAAAACCGTCATTGGAGCTCCGCAGCTGAAATATGATTGGAGAAGGTTTCAGAGGACGGACGGACAGACGGAAGAGTGTGAGATCAGCTGGTTACCTGTCTACTGAAGTGCTCATGAAGATCCCGCTTCTGGTCCTGAGCGCGCAGCAAATCCATGACTTTGCGGTTTTCTGGAGTGCATGTTGGACACTCTGCGTCACTCTCGGCGTAACTCTCAAAGCAGTGCTGGTGGAAGGAATGGCTGCACAGGAAGTGGACAGACGGGAGCTCCAGGGGGCTGTTGCACATGTTGCACTTGGTCTTCTGGAATATCTTGGCACTGTGTGGAAAACACTTTGGTCACTTTGCTTCCATGGAGCCGCAGGGCGGAGTAAACGGCCCTCGGCGGACTCACCTGGTCTTCAGCTCCTGGATTTCAGAGCGAAGGTGAGCGGTTTCCTCGCGGTACTGGCTGATCTTCCGCTCGTCGTCTTCGATCTGCTGGCTCTCTCTCTGCAGCTCATTGATGAGGTAGTCTTTGATCACAGACAGGGTGGCCGTGGAGTTGTGGGCAAGCGTCTGCACGACTGATTGGACAAGAACGAGTCATTTATCATCAAACCCGGAGCCACAAACATTCGGTGATCAGGGGAACTTTCAGAATCAGGAATGTTTTGCTAACACTGCTTTTCTTTGATCATTACTGAAATATTTAGGAATAATCTTCTCTTAGATATTCTGATGAAGGAACCAGGTCCAAGGAAACGCTAACTTAGCTAGCTCAGCTGCTGGATGAGGTCAGATGGGCCCTCATGGACGCCATAAAGGGGCGTGGCTCACCCAGTAATGGAGGCATCAGGTTCTTCTGGTCAATGTGATCGAGGACCTCGCTGATGTAGGCCTTACAGTCCTCCTCCTTCCTGGCAAAGTATCCCAGAGCCTGCTCCCAGAGGCAGCCCTCCTGCTCTCCGTAGCGCTTACAGGCATCCACCACCTTCCCGTACTCCTCGTTCTGCATGTGGTAGTGCATGATCTGCTGGTACCTGAACGGGCAGGAAACCATCAGGAGCGAAAGCTGCTGGTTCAGAGCCGCCATCTCTGCTCAGCTCGTTAACAACAGTTCAAACAAAAACATGATGGAGGGGCACCCAAACACCACAGATATCAGCTCAATGCAGACACTCTAATGAAGTTACCACACAGACCCAGAACCGACCTGCTGGGTCACCGGTTCTGAACAAGGAAGCTTCGTAGGGGGAGGGCTGAGCGAGCTTTGGGCTGCTGGGTTCCCTGCTGTGCATAAAGCTCAGAAACTTACAGCTGGCCTTTCTCGTACAGGTAGAGGACTCCTTCTTTAAAGTTGTGCATCTGGCAGAGCACCAAGGCCTTATCGAACACAGTGTTGTCGCTCCGGAGCAGCGACAGCGCCTCTCCCTGCCGCACCGCTTTCTCCTGACGAAGACATGAGCGTTAAAACCTCAGCAAAGCATCCACCTTTAATGCCTGATTGGGTTCTGACCTTTGGGTCTTTTTCGTGTGCCCAGTCCTGCAGGCGGAGCTCCAGCAGCGTGTCGTACACGCCCTGCGATGAGCGCGGGTCCACCTCGATCATGTGCTCCAGGAAGGCTTTCAACTCTCGAGGATTATTGGCAAAAATGGGGATAAATTCTTCAGAATTTGCCTTGAATTAGAAGCACAGAACCGACGGACATGGATGATGAGTGAGACCGGATCTAGAGGAAGCAAACCCACCAGAGGGACAGCTGGCCACACCCACCTTCTCCACACAGTCTCCAGTGGGCTGGTAGTTGGTGCACAGGCGCTTCAGCAGAGCAGTGGTGCCTTCAGGAACGTGGTGCATGAGCGTCTTTCCATAGCGCTTCATGTTGCTCTCGGTCTGTTCGAAAGGCAGGCGGCCGATGTAGCGCAGACCCTCCTGATAGTTCTGCAGGTAGAAATGAAGGGGGGGGGGTCAGAGACCTGGTCAGGTGCATTTCCACCCATCTGAAAATGCTTCCAGTCCGTTAGTCACCGCTGCTGTTCTAGCAGGAGTCTGCACTGTTGCTAGGCAACGCCACATCACCATGGTTTCACCTAAACCCTAAATGTGGGCTTTAGGCAGTAATGTAACAGCAGTTACAGTAATAGGATGAGTGGAGAACACCAAGTCTGATGTGTTTGACTTGATCGACCCCGAGGCTCTGAACCTGATGGTGTGATGACCCAATGAGCCAATGAGCTGTCAGTCTGGGTTGCTGCTGCTGCTACTTTTAGACACAGCAG